AGAACTTTTTTGTACATCTAATACTATCACCATCATTGTCATCATCGTTGTTACTCATATGGACGTATAAATAAGAATATAATAAAGACTGTTATAATTTCTGATGAAATTGATGATTAGGAATAAATAAGTCACGTACGTGTCAGTACGTTTATAGTCTCTTTAATTTTGATTAATATTAATCGATTTATTATTGAATAAAAGAAATATGAATAAAGAAAAAATTATATGTTTGTAGATGAATATTGTGCGGGATGATACAGTAGAAACAAAAAAAAAACGTAAATACTTATTACATCGTGAACACTTAATTAATGAAATTTTACTGTACACACAATTACTTTTTCTAATATCTTGAGGAAAGCAGATTTGATTAACATTATAAAAATATTCTCTTTCATGAATCAATTTTGATGAAAACCAGGCATATTTTATCATTGGTGTGAAAATTTAACAATTGATGATGAATTATCGAATGGATTTTGATGGCATTTTCTCGCGTCGACAGTTCTTTACGTTCTTGTAAAATTTCTTAGAAATTTTGAATTTTTTAAATAAAATGTTTTACTTGAAAAAAATAAATATCGCATGGTGACAGTATAGAGTGCAGTGAGGAGAAATCACTTCTATCGTAGATGAACACTTACCATCATCATCGGTGAAAGCAATATTGAAATGAGCAGTACCCGTCTCCCAGGAATTCAAAATTAACAAAAAAGTATTGTCTTCACAATAAGGTTTGATGATTTCGTGCACGAAGTGTTGAATAAATTCTTCGTCAATTTGCCCGATTTGGAGGCAGTCACAAAAACATTTCCATACACTCTCATTAATGTTTGCACTGCAGTGTGAATACGTGGTCCAAAATTACCTTGTACTTCCTGCATATAGAGAAAAACTTTTGGAAGAAGTTCTCCTGCAGCTGTTATTGCGTACTGGGCGGTATAGCTGTGAGTAACCTTATTAAAATCTCCAAGAAAAATTCTGTTGATTTTTCTTCTTTCACAAACAAGATTCTCTGAACATTAAACCTATATTCGCACCCGGTTTGGTCCAGTATTGATTACAAAACGATGATCAAATTTTGTTATTATTTTTGCAATCTTCTTCTGAAATTTTTCGGCTTGTTTTAATATTGTTAAAACATCTATTGCTCTTTCAAATTTAATATAACGTGTGACTTTACACTATCGAATGCTGTGTTCCTTTTTAAATCTATTCACCCACGATTATGATGCGGTAAAATTAAAATGTTGAGAGCGATATTGCACCGCTGCAGCTGAAGCCCATTGTTGTAATATCCTTGTTGTTACAAATTGTTTTTTCTCTCTTGCTTCGCAGAAACGGTCAAAAGTTCACTTATTAATTATATCGAATTTTTCTATTATGTCTTCACCTTTTTCGATTTCAGCTTTCCAAGCTGAAATAAATTTAAATCACTTATGCGTTTCAGACATGTACCTCCATGTCGGTGAATTGATTTTAGGGTCCATTTTGAATGTTCTTTGACCAAATTTAATATCTTAATCTTTTGATCAATTGATATATAATTTTTCTTTAGCTTCTCTGGTATTTTATACGAATCGTCGGATTCCTCGTTAGAAGGGATAGTAACATCCGATGACTTTTGCGAAGAGAACTTATTTCGAAGAACTTATTTCGTGCATTTCAGATTATGAATAAAAAAGAACAGAAAATAATTTAATTTATTTAATTTATATTACAATTTATTTAATTTATATTAATTTAATTTATAAATATCAATTACTGTAATTTACTAAAATTACATAATTGGTAAAATAATTTTCAAGGTTTGTACGTATATTCAATAATCACTCGCAAATAATACATTAGTGGAATCACTAATATAATTAATATAAAATATATATTTCATCAATTATTGAAAAATGAAATTAATTTTTAATTTTAACTTTTTTTCAACAAATAACTGTAATCTATTCATTAATCAAAATTAATAATTTGTATAATAATTTGTAATACATTACAAATAAATTAATATCAAATAAGAAATTATTCTTTTGAGTAATAATTCATTAATTGTCTGTATAATGAATCGGTGAATGAAATATCAGAATTAGAATTAGAATTAGTAATACCCTTTGGTGGAACGCATTCATCCGCCAAAAGTAATTCTTCCTCTTCCTCGAAATGAAAATCACGAATTCTGCCACATATTCCGCAATTTTCTTTCCAATAATCTTTGCTCTTTCAGAAAACTTGGAACTTTTCACTTTTTTAGCCTGTTGTAGGTCGCATAAAAATTTGACCACAAATTTTCAGCCCGTCTGTAACATCTTGTTTTGAAATCGACAAACATATTGTTTCGCTTTCTCTAACACCAATAATCGTATTTTGCAGTCCACTTGCGATTCACCATAAATATTTCTATTAACGTTTTCCATCCTGCTAATAGATTTTATTTAAATACTTTTTCATATGTGTTAAGGGCCTGATTTGTGAGTTGCTCTACTTACATGAATTGAAGCGATTACAGTCCTTGATAAAGGATGCGGTCGAGATGCGATGGAATGTTAGCGCACTGTTCCGTTTGTTGTATCAAATCTTGTTGTGCACTTGATCAAGATGCACGGAGAATATCGAGCAAACTACTCCTCAATTCGCGAATTAAATCGTATTCCAAAAAAAGCCAAGGTCGTGATAACAAAAAAAATGTCAAAGAAATTGCAGTGCCTGATCGATATAACGAGTGCTGATATGACTGAGCGCCGCTTGTTTGCGCGGATTTCTTTTATTATTTTGCCTCTCTTTGTTGAGATCTTTACCATTTCTCTTTTTATGATTTGGCGCGTGACGATTGGACGGGTCGTTAAGCAAAACAATGATTTTTGGTTACACATACGTGACTTATTTATTCCTAATCATCAATTTCATCAGAAATTATAACGGTCTTTATTACATTCTTATTTATGCGTCCATATGAATAACGATGATGATGACAATGATGGTAATAGTAATTATTTCATACAGGAATATTTAATTATTTATTTGTAAATTTATGAAATTTTATTACAATCAGAAAGCAATTAAAATTAAACTTATAAAGATATTAATATTTCTTTATAGAGATTTTTCAAATTATTACAATAACTACCTAAAAACTTTATTTACAAAAAATATACAGATAATTAAATAAATAATTTTTTTGAACATCTATAGTAACAAAATAGTTACAAATAATAAATAATTACAAATACAACAAATTTTTAATAAAAAAAAATATATATGCGACAGGATTTGAACACGCGATCTACGTTATGACTTTGTATGCAAAGCCAACATCTTACAACCTGTGCTACCGCTGCTCTTGTTCAACAGCGATGATTAAAACATATAAAGTGTCCCGCCCGTATATCGGCCGACTAGACTCATTTTTTAAAAATCAATTTCTTCGAAACTATGGGCCATTGGCAAGAATGACCAGACACATCGTTTTTTTTTCGCTCAAGAACAGCCTGTATAAAACGCGTCAAAATATCCCAATCAGCCATCTGGTTTTCCTCTTATAAATATTTTTTTATGTAAGTACTTTAAACATTTAAAATGATTTATGTAAAATTTTATTCCGATGTAGAGATTAGTTGATCTATAAATAAAAATTAAATTTTTATTAAGAGTACAAACAAAACCAATGGCGGTACAAATTAAAATATTTAAATAAAAAACTTAAGATTTTTGTTATTTCTTAATTACATTTCCCTTACAGCATATTTCTTCTTACTTATTTAAATAATTTTTGATCTAAGTTGTAAAATTTTTTGCATTATTTTGCAGCTAAATTTTTTTGTTTTTAAATGCGATTTAGAATAATCTGTAAGTGTTTCATAATTTTTTCATTGTAAAATATAAAAATAAAAAAATAGTATAAAAATAATAAAAATAGATGTGATATATCCTTAATAAGCAGAGGGATATAATTAATAATCAATAATCGTGTTATTCCCGTGGTACAATGTACTCACTTCCGGTGTCTCGCTCGTGTCCGGTACATCTCGGGTAATATCCGGATCCGGCGGTCTGTGTTCTGGTAGTAACGCCCCGTACTTCCTCGACGCCATACGTCGTCGTCGATTCAACCATCTCTGCTTCTCCGTGACTTCCGATTCCTCATCAACTCCGAAAAACTGCGCTGTCTCGCGTTTAATATAGCTGAAAGATCGAAAAGATGTTACATGTCAATTAGAATCATGTGCATGTCATTTTAAATAGGGATTATCTTTATCATTTAACACATTGACGGCCGCGATACCCTAACAGCTCGTGACATACTGCGAATCACCATTTTCGTATTGCTTGTACTGTGACTATCTATAACGTACTGAGATGCGTGCTAGAACATCACTGATAGTATCATTCGGTTTTCTTTCGCGCGTATATTCTCAGAATTTACGCAGCGGTACATACGCTTTCTCATCACATGCGTATATTCTCAGGTTATACTCAGGTTATACAGAAGTACGGAAATGATACATACGCCTTTCTATCGCGTGAGTATATTCTATAGAACATTTTCTATAGATCATAACATTTGTCACGAAATATTATCGTCATAAATATATCATCATTTAATCGTTATTTTTAAGCCATTTTTAATAAATAAATAATGAAATAACATCATTATTCTAATAGCACTCGTCTATTCCGAGAACGTTCCACGGGATATCGTACAAGTAGATTCGAAATATTCTCCGAACTTTCGAAATACGTACGCGATATACTATGGAATGTATTTAGATCGTTACTACCGCTTACTAACTTAATCCCTAGTATGTACTGGAAAATATCCCGCAGTATGGCCATAGAATGAAAATGATTTAAAAATAGTATATCAGGAAATGCATAAGGGTACCCCAGACAGCCATATAGATCGTGAAAATCTATAATATACGTGATATACACCTCTTATGGAAAATAAATGAAAAAAATGAAAAAATGAGAGAAAGTAATGACACATTTTTTATCTTGTATCATTGCATATTTTTAAAATGGTCATCCATCTTAGGATTCTGCTCGATACTGCTTAACTTCTATATGAAACCTACAACTGAAATGATGATATATAAGTGATCCCTACATACTAGGGATTAGATTAGTGAGCGGTAGTAACGATATAAGTACATTCCACAATGTATCGCAGTATTTCGAATGTTCGGAGAATATTTTGAATATATCTGATATCCCGGAATGTTCTCAGAATAGACGAATGCTATTAGGGCTATAACGACACCCGACTCACCCCCCTCAATTACTAACAATTATTAACAATGTTAAATGTCCCCAACCGATCAACCGTCGGGGCGCCGACATGGCGATCCTTCTGCGATCCCACCGTCGCGAAAAGCCCGTCGAACAGCAGACGCGGCAAACCGGTGATCACACGGCTTCACGTGCGCGCCGCGTGAAACAATAGACACACGGTAAGGCCACCACGGGCCGGCCCCGCTACTGACCGCGCCACCGAACATCCTCGCGGAATTCCCGAGCGCGTTCGACGAATTATCGCGGGGATTCCGACAAAGACATCCCCCGGAACTACCCCGACCCGAGTCCGGCCGACCCGTTCCCGACGACTCCCGACCGATGGCCGGCTCGGGTATATTAAGCGAGTCCGGGAGATAAACGAGAACTATCTCCGGCGAGACAGTAACCAGTCCGACACTGCTCTCGATATTCCGAATCCTCTCCAGAAAAAGCGATCTAGGGTGCTACCTATCGTGCCAGGAGCTTCTGGCCGATCGCTCCTCTAAATCCACCAGCGCACAAGTACTCACAGGTTGAGGAGCTTCTCACCTGGGCTCCACAAAGAAAGCCCTTGTGCACATATTCCTCTGACGATCGAGAAGCAGGGAGCTTCCTGCATTCGAACCGTCATAGCTTTACACACAGCTGATCCGTCATAGCACTACACACAGCTGATCCATCAAAACAAGACGGCCGAAATCCCCGCGCACCGTCGCGCCCGCGCCGCGCCTATCGAGGAACGCGACGAAATTCGGAGAACCGACCGCGAGCAAACGATTGTATATGATACGTAGAAACCGCGCATCTTTTCGCCGTACCAACGGCGAAATACCTGTAAATACTGTACATATAAAAACAGCCAGTCGGCATTGTAAATATAAACCTAGACATACCAAGAGACACGATATTTTATTTCTCGTACCGAATCCTGACCAAAAACCGATCGACGCTATCCTGCAGAACCGATCGACGCGGAGATAGAGACGTTTTAGGGTTAATGGCTGTTCCAATAAAATGAAAGATATCCTAAATATCTTCAACTCTTTCCATCCGAGATTGCAGTTTATAATACTTTAGAAGAGAGAGGGACATCTCTCAACTTTTTAGATGTTTGTATAAAACTAAATGGCGGTGTCATCGAAACAATTTTTGTAAGAAATCCATTTTCTCGGGAAGATATCTTAACTTTCTTTCCCAACATCCTCTCTCTCAAAAACGAGAAATGATTATTGACATGGTTGATAGAGCATTATTACTTACGCACCCAAAACCCTATCAAAAAAACTTAGAACAAATAGTTAGCATTTTGAGAGACAACGATTATCCTCTAAGCTTTATCTTCAACTCTATTAACTTGCGTTTAAAAAAATTTTTTACAACGACAATAAACTTTAATTCAAAAAACAATAAAATTATAACTGTGGAAGAAGATTCGAAGAAATGTCTTTGGT